AATTGAGAGTGACTTTTGACACAGGCAGACAGTGATAGGGAGAATGGTTTCAAAGCAAAAGAGGAGAAATTCAGATTAGATATTAATAAATTCCTCCCTGGGAGGGTGGGCAGGCCCTGGCACAGGGAAGCTGTGGCTGCCCCTGGGTCCCTGCAGTGCCCAAGGCCAGGCTGGACACTGGGGCTGGAGCACCTGGGACAGTGGAAGGTGGCAGGATTGACACAGGATGAGCTTTAAGGTCCTTTCCTCCAAAACCACTCTGGGGTGCTGGGATCAGTTGGTAGCTGGTCTGCATGTTTGCAAATACTTGCCTGGAATTGTCCTTCTGCCTTGGGAAGTGCAGTGAGGAGGAGCTGGCTGTGTTTTGTGAAGGAGACACCTCTGTTGCTCCCCTGGAGCCATCAGGAGGAGTGGAGAAGGTTTTCCTGGGAGCAGGATGAGGATTGCATTGAGGGTGGCTGTGTCTGCAGCCTGCCAGCACAGCTTTATCCTCCTCAGCTGAGATTCCAAACCTTTTCAGGTGCAGCTGACGGGGCTGGCACTCCTTGGGTGGGTGAGATCAGCTGTGGCCCAGGGCAGTCAGCTCCTGTTTGTCCTGGTGCCACAGGAGCTCGGCTGGGCTGGAGCTGGGATGGCAGAGCAGGTTCTGCTCCCCCAGCAGCAGCCAGGGTGGTTGGGATGATGGCCTTGGGTCACCTGGTCTTTACCTGGGCTTGTGCACGTTCCACCTGATGGGTTTGTGGGGCAATTTCAGTGACTGATGCTTTGCCCAAGTAACAGCCCCTGGTATTTTGTGGTGTTTTCTGTGTCCTTGTCCCCATCCAAGCCTTTGGAGCATGGAGCAGGACTGGGGAAAGCTTAAACCATTGGCAGCAAGAGAGGAGCTCTTGTGGTTCTGTTCACACATGGGGACATCTTTTAGGTTCATTTTCCTTTTGGTGCATTTATTCATCCTTCTTCCCTCCTCCTCCTCTTTCATCACTTCTTCCCCCACAAATATCTGAAGGCTAAAATAATGTTCTTGCCTTTTGTCTGCCAATAGTGTGACACCAAGTAGTTCCTCTCCATGGCCATGGATTTATGTTTGGCCTCTTTACTCAGGTGCTAGACATATTTATTTCTGGCTGCACAGATGGTGAGTCTAACACAGGCCTCTGGCTTTGACTGTGATGTTTGTTTACATCTTCATGGTACAATAGTAACCCAAAGAGACAAAGTGGAAAATTGGGAAGTGCAAATTCTGAAATGTGTGAAGGGCTTGGAGCCCCCAGGGTGCACAGAGAGCCCCTGAGCACTGCCTGCCTTTCTGGGCTGGGTGAATTTTCACTGGCACGGCCCCTTCCTTCATCTCCTGTCCAGCACATCCCAGTGCTCCTGTTGGACAGGGGCAATTTGAGATGGGAAATGCAGGGATGGATGGGGGCACCTGGTGTGTTTTGGGCTGTGACAGCCTCACACCCTCTGTCCTGCATGTCCCTGTGAGCTCTGCATATTTATACATTTATACTGAGGCTTTTCCTCATCTTTTCTGTAATTCTGTGTATCTGGATGAGTGGGGTGGAAAGGCTGGAAGGGATGAGGGGGAGGTTCCTGTGTGCTAGAGAATCACAGGTAAATGAGTTTGTGCAGATTTAAACACAGCACTTGCACAAGCAGCTCACTTCTGGAAGATCCCAGGTCAGAAAGAGGAATAAAAGTAATTCTTAAAATGTTAGGGCTTAAAACCAGGGTCAGCTAAGCAGCTTTAATTCATGGCATGAGGCTTCCTTACCCCTGTGGGAGGAGCAGCGTGGATGGAGCTCTGCCCTGGCAGGGGAGGGTGTGAGGGGATGCTCTTCCTCTGCACACCCCCTGCTTCTGGAGCTTTTGCCCACAATTTTTCACTCATTTTGTTACTTTTGGCTTCATTTGCAAGGAGTCTCCATTGCTGGGTGGTTCCTCCTCCTTGGTTCTGAGGTTTGTCAGTGGAAGGGGAGATTTGGCACAGAGCAGCACTTGGGAACAAACTGAAAGTCATGAGTTGGATCCTCCCATGGGGCACCACTAATGTTGATTTTTTTGGGGGGATTTTTCTTTGTTTTTTTTTTAATTTTCTTTGGTTTTTTTTCTTTTTTAAAAATTTTTTTGTTTTGTTTTTGGGTTTTTTTTTTGTTTTGTTATTGGGATTAAATTGTGAGATGATATTTTTTCCTTGAATTCTGATGTTTATTCGTTTTCATTTCTATTACAGTCTCACAAAGTGTGGGTTCCATAGTAGTTTTCTTTAACAAGGTAAAAATGGAGATGTATTTTTTTTCTATAAGGTTTTTTAAGGATAAACTGTTTAATTAAGAAATTGCACTTAAATTATTTTTATTTTTAATCTAATAATAAACTACTCATGACTGGCAATGTGGATTTTTTTGTTTAATTACACAAAACTACTTAAACTCATGAAGAAGAAGGTGAAGAAGAAGGTAAAAGAAGAAGGACTAGCTTTTGCTCTAAAACTTTTATCTTATTTTATATATATTATTATATTCTAAAATTTTAAACTCCAGAGTTTTCTACTGTGTGATATTACACACATTTATTTAAACTATGCACTTAGAATATATAAGTATATATATATATAAAGTATATATATGCAAAAAAGTATATATATAAAATATGCTTTTATTTAAACTATCATGTATTTTTTTGGTGAACCAGATTATTATCTGGCAAAAAGTTACCTGGTCCCACTCTCCTGACTCCCTTGGTTTCCTGCTGAAGGGTTTGCCTTGTAGGAAAATTGCAGTGTTCATTGAGGTTGGTTGTGGTAGGGAGATTCTTTCAGTATTAGCTGAGTCTTTTCCCTTGAATAAAAAGCTGATTAATTTCAGAACTTGTTGGCAATAGTTTGAAAACTGGAATTTGGGATTTATAGAGCAATATTTCTGATAAGCACATTTAAAACTGAAGTGCCGAGTGTTCTTTTTGAAGTCATCTCCAACACAAGCTACAGAATAGTTCCTTGTCCCACAGAAATCATCTGGATGGCAGGAAAGGGGAAGTTTCAGTCAGAAAACTGCTGAATTTGGATGTGCTTTTGTGACTCTTGTTAGAACAGTCAGCCTCACTGGCATGTGCCAGGGAATTCTAGGAAATCTCTCAGTTGCTGTAGAGACAGCTTCCTCAAAACTTGTTCCTAGTGTTTCATTTTCTTAATGTCTATGTTTATGTATAGCCTCATAGCATAGTGATCTTGTATCAGAATATTTATATGTATTTATGTAATGGGATATGTAAAAATACAAGTTATGCAATGGGAGTATGAATCTAGTTTATGCAAAGTTTCTTCTAATGTATCTAAAAAAAGCTCAGGGTGGTGAGATCAGCACTGCCAGTGAAATCCTCTGTTTTCCTGCACGTTTTCAGTTGCTCCTTGTGCTTCAGGTAAAGGCTCTGTGCCCAATAAAGATGATTTTTAAGCATCCATTTTATTGAGGGCAGTGTCCCTTCCTGGCATGGGCAGAGTCATTGTGGCACTAAAGGCTCTAATACCAGGTGGTTAAACTTGTACCTGTGGTGGGTGAACATTGTGTTTTGTGTTCCCCAGAGAGGTGGTTTAATTCAAAATAATGTTGGTCCTCAGAGCTGTGTGGCTGCCTGAGCTCCTGGTAAATCAGGCCTTGCTCTGGCTTCTGCCTGGGGGAGGAAGGCTTCCTGCATCTTGGATCAGGATCAAGGTTCCCTTTGTGATCAGAGCCTGGTAAAAACGAATCCAGCCTCAGATAGGCGGCAAATAAAGTACTAAGTTTCCTTTTGTTGTATTTCTTGAAAATAGATGTAACCTTTTCTGGCTCTAGTTGTATTTTTAGATGGTGATGGTAGGCACCAGAGAAACATGCAGAGGAGCAGCAGATAAGACAGGAGCAGCAGCTCTGTGGTGTGTTAGCTGAGGTTAACACCGGGGATTAATCACCTGCTGTTGCCTCAAACCCCCCAGCAAGGCAGAAGAACTGGTTTAAAATAGAGCAGAAAATGAGTGTGTGATTCTGCCCTCGCTGTGAGCCCCGTGGCGCTGTGTGTGTCCCCAGGTGCCTCTCACGGAAGCCGTGG